TCTTTTGTTGGTTGGTCCTTTTGCTATGCAACCAAACAATGGTTGTATTTTGCTTGGTTGAATAATAATTTGAATTTAAGCCATGTATCTTTAATTAGCAACTATTACTATTTGATTGATTCCTAGACAGTTCCAACCCAAAATACAATTTTAGCTTAAGAATGGATTAAGGAGCAATTTATTAATGCTAGTCAACCTCGTTGGTTCTCTTGTCTTAAATTTTCAACTCAATTAGGCAATGGTGTAACCTCCCCTTACTCTAAATTTTATACTACCAAAAAAAGAGAGACTATAGAAAATGTTTAGATTTCGTCAAAATTTTGAGGTTATGTTGTTGCATTAGTTACATATCAAGTTTCACTTCACATATAAGGTTGTCAAACTAAAATCTTAGTTAAAGTTTAGACTTTACATATATAAATAAGCATGCAACATCCAGAGTTTTTCCTCCACAATTTTTTAAGTTTAATCTTTGAAATCTATTTTTTTTAATTTCTTTTGATTGAATTTTTAAAATTTTAGTTATCCCTTAATTTCTTTCTACTAAATTGTAGGTTCAGAATGCTAATAGTGGGCAAGGCTTTTCCCCAAATAATCGTTCCTCTTCACAATCAAGCCATCACCTTTTGTCTTGCCAAAATGAAAGTAATGAAGAAAATGATGGGCAAAGGGATTAAAAGGCATGTTTGTGTCTCCTTGCTTGATAGTTTAAAGACTAATGAATTTCTAATTTGATAGATGCATTTTCTTTTGGACAATTTTACAACTTTCGATATGAGATACAAGCTATTTTTTTCAAAATGCTCATATGGATGGTTCATGTAACTAGTAACATGCTTATGATATGCATTTTCTTGTTGTTATTAATTCTCTTATGGGTGAATTACTACAATTTCTATGCAGGAAATTATATGAGGTTAGACTTGCTTTTATTATGTGTTGTAGAACTATAGTTGAATTCTTCACTCACTTACTAGTACTTTGAGTCTTGCAATTTTTGCATAACTGGTTTGTTTGTTAAAGGTTTAAACTTTTGATTACAATTTTTTTTATTGAGGTAAAAATCATTTCAAACTTTCAAGTGATCTTAGGGCTGTACGTAAAGATTAAGAAAAACCAATAGAAACTATGATAAAATAAAAGGGATTAGTGAGCTTGAAATGACTAAAAGAAGCTCTAACTATTTAAAGCCAGAACACTATATGCTAAAAATAGGCTACAAGAAGGGTTTCTTTTCTCTTTGAAGTGTATCTGCAGAGATTAGGTGATTCTTTGGTCTATCTGAAGGGAATTAGGATTGGCTTTGTCTTCGGTGCAGCCATAGGGATAGGGATTACCTGAGTTGAGTCTAAAGTGAGGACAAGAACTTTTGTTTTTAGGTTTTAATATGTTAATGAGCTAGTTCTTTTCCAAAACAATATTATATAGCTTTGCTTATGCAAGCTTTTATCTTTTGTTTGTTTTTCATGGATTTTGGTTTGTGCACATTTGTTGCTTTGTATTTCTTGTTTTTCCACTCCATTTTCAAAGAAATTGAGACTTTTTTTATTTTTTGGAGTCTGCTATTTGTGAATCTTTTATTTCTATATATGCTTATCAACTTTAAATAGATTTGGTGTTGGAGTTTATGTTTGATTCTGAGGGCTAGTTGCTAGGGTTCAACTATGTTTCCTTCTTTTTTATTTTTTATTTTTGGTTTGCACTTTCCCATTTTGTAATAAGAAATGCATTTCTTTTCTTTTCTTTTTTATTTTTTATTTTTGGTTTACACTTTCCCATTCTGTAATAAGAAATGCATTTCTTTTCTACATCTTAGATCATTTTATAATCCTGCACTTTCAGCCAATCATTGGCTGCATCTATCGCTTTATCTCATTATTTATTGCTTCTTCCTTTTTGCTTTTGTATTGGATTTAATATTGATGAATCTCACCATTATTTTACTCTCTAATGCCATTCACATTTTTGTTCTTAGCTAAATTTGATTGGATTATAGATAGACCTAGTATGTTTGCTGCCTTTCACAACCATCTGCAGAATTTAATTATTTATTTAGATAAAAAAACAAAACAAAAGATAATAGAAAAATATAATTCTCCTTCACTTCCTTTCTCTTTATTTCTCAACTAAATATAAATAAATTTGAGCTCATTTTAATAATTCATAAAAACAATCAAATTTCTAGGATTGAAAAAAGCTAAAAAAAAAAAAGGTAGTACATTGAAATATTAATTCATAATGATTTTTGCCAAGATTTGTATGAAAGATTTATTGTGGGTATCTATGGTTGCGATGTAAATTTTGTTGATTTCAAAATGATGATGAAAATGGTGAAACAAGAAGGCACGGTTAAGGAGTACATTGAGATATTTGATTCTTGGGTTAGTATGACATATTTGTTAGTATTAAGAAGTGATGTGTTGAATTTGTTTCTCAATGGTTGAAAGATGATCTTAGAAACCTGGTGGTTTAAAAATGCACTCAAACACTTCAATTTTCTTATATGTCAGCTAAATTTGAAGAGTTTTCCCTTAAGTACTCCATGCACAGCTTAAGAAAGAGAAAGAGGAAATTGAGAAAGTGATGAAAACAAACCATGGATGCTTCAACTGATGTTATTCACAAATTCAAGAGGTTAGATTTTATTAATGAACAAATGCCAAACATGAACAAATCCAAGTGGTACAGTTGACATCAATATGTGCTAGTGATGTATCGGTTACTGCCTCCCCATTAGTATCAACCCTTGCCATTCAAAGTGGAGCAATTCCCATTGAAAATTCATTTGTTGTGCTAGATTTGGCTCGGCAGGATAATGCTTCTTTGATTGAGCCAAGGAGGACTAGAGTGGCATCCTAGCGTGTAGTTGCAACTACAAAGGCCTTGTTACCTAGATAGAAGCAGTCAAAGAAGAGTTCTAACTCCTTAAATGAGGTATCTGCCTCTAAACCAAAATGAAAATTCTTTTCTGGAATGTGAGGGGCATTAATATGCCTAGTAAACAAAAGTGCCTTAAGCGATTTTTGTTACAGTATAGTGATGAAATTGTTGTTCTCTTAGAAACTCGAGTTCAGCAGCTAAAGTTCTTAGATATCTCTAGTTTCCTTCTTCCAAGTTGGGTAGCACACTGCAACTATGAACATGGAAGGCTAGGCAGGATTTGGTTGCTTCACAATCCGCATATCAGAATTACTATTTCTACTATGAATTTCCAAGCCATTCATTGCCATGTACTAGACACTTTGACAGTCTAATATTTTTTCCTAAGTGCCATATATGCTAATCCATATGATGATAGTGTGAGGCAAACTTTGTGGAAGGAACTGGTTCTCATAAGTCAGGCACTCCCAAAAGTCCCTTGGCTAGTGGGGAAAGATTTTAATGAAACTAGATCATTAATTGAAAGATCTGATTGACAAACTTTGACTTCTACATCCAAGAGTTCAAATTTCTTTCATAATCAATTAAATGAGACTGAATTACATGACTTGACATCCATGGGCTCCTTTTACACTTGGACAAATAAGAATATCTTTGAAAAATAGGATAGACTCATGGTGAATGAAGCATGACTAGTCACATTTACAAATTCGAAAGCACACTTTTTACCTCTTGGTTGCTCTGATCATTGTGTAGGGTGTGTTGAAATATTTTTGCCATTGGTTAGCACAAGAAGAAAGCCTTTTAAGTTCTTTAACTTTTGGGCTAAGCATGAGGTATTCTTGGCACTTGTAAAGCAGACATGGGACTCCACTCTAGTGACTAGATTCCATATGTTTCAACTCTACAAGAAGTTGAAAGCTCTAAAACATATTTTGAAAAAGCTTAACAAAAAGAGTTATGGTGATGTACAGTACCAGCTTCAACAAGAAAGGGACAGATTGCACCTTATTCAAAGTGATCTCCCAGCTAGCCCAAATGAGGATATGGCTCAAGTTATGCATGAATAGGCAAAAAAAGTGGCTGATTTGCAACTAGCAGAGGAGTCTTTTTTCAGACAAAAATCAAGAGTTAAGTGGTTATAGGACGATGATAATAACACCACTTATTTCCACAAAATGGTTAAGGTGAGAAGAAGTCACAATACAATAAAAGCATTGTAGACTCTTGATGGTAGAGAGCTAACTAGTTTACTTGAAATGGAAAGTGAGGCAATGCATTTTTATCAAAACCTCTTAGAAGTTGTGGATACTAATTGTAAAATTGCAAATAGTGATTGGCTTAAAGATCTCCTTCACTTTCAACTTCCAAGTGCCATTTGTGATATGCTCATCCAACCTATTACTATAGAAGAAATTAAGGGTGTTGTCTTTAATAACCCAAGCAATAAGGCGCTTGGCCTTGATGGGTATACTTCAAAGTTTTACATAGCTGCCTGGCCTATAGTGGGAGAGTTGGTGACAAAAGCTATATAGGAATTCTTTCACAGTGGGAAACTTTTGAAAGAGATGAATTCTACACTTATAGCTTTAGTCTTTAAAATTCCTAATCCTACAAAGATGACAAAATATCGGCCAATATCATGCTACAACTTGGTTTACAAGTTCATTACTAAAATTCTTGCTGAAAGACTAAAGAATTGTTTGAACCTCTTTATCAGTAGAAATCAGTGTGCTTTTGTTGAAGGGAGACTAATGGTGGAGCATGTGATCTTGGCATAGGAGATTGTGAAGCATTATGACATGCAGCATTTGAGTCCAAGATGTGCACTCAAAATTGACTTGATGAAAGCATTTGACTTCATACATCGGGAGTTTATTTTCTAGGTATTAATAGCCTTGGGGTTTCTTGCTTAATTTATCAAGTGGCTAAGGGCATGCATTATAACTCCCATGTTTTCTGTCGTGTTTAATGGAAATTTAGCAAGTTATTTCCCTAGGAAAAATGGTGTTAGGCAAGGTGACCTCTTCTCCCCCCTACATTTTTGTTATTTGCATGGAGGTATTATCTACAATGATAAATAAGGCCGTTATATAAGGTTAGATTGCATACCACTCGAAATGTGCCAAGGTACAATTGACACACCTTTGCTTTGTGGATGATCTTATAATCTTTACTGATGGTAGCTTATCCTCTGTGGCTGCCCTTGACTGTGTTCTTAAGGAATTTTATGTTGTCTCTGGCCTTTAAGTGAATTATTCCAAGTAAGAAATTTTAACTTATGGTCTTTCTCCTTTTGCTGTTCAAAATCTCACTGCTACCTATGGATTCAAGGATGGAAGTTTACCTATTAGGTACATAGGTGTACCTTTCATCATTGAAAAACTAATTAATAAAGACTTAAAGCCTTTGATTTCAAAAATCACAGACATAATGAACTCATAGGCGTTAAAACATCCGTCCTCTACTGGTAGATTACAACCAATTACCTTTGTTATTCAAGGGATTTCAAATTTTTGGTGCTCTACTTTCATCTTGCCAAAGAGGGTTATCAAAGAGGTGGAGAAATTATGTAGTTCTTTCCTTTGGAATGGATCCGCTAATAATGCAAAGGAAGCAAAGGTAAATTGGCCTTCTGTTTGTTATCCGAAACAAGAAGGTGGGCTGGGATCAAAAGTTTGGTTCAATGGAATAAGGCCTACATTTTGTGTTTCATTTGGATGCTATTTACCAAAGTAGGTTTTATATGGGTTGCTTGGGTTCATGCTTACTTTTTAAAAGGCAAAAGCTTTTGGTCAATAAAAATCCCAAATGATGCATCTTGGGGGTGGAGAAAATTGCTTAAACTCAAACCACAAGCCAAGAAACTTATGCTGCATTCACTTGGTGATGGGGAGGATACCTTTTTTTGGTTAGATCATTGGCACCCTTCAGGTCCCTTAATAGATGTCTATGGTGATAGTGTTCTGAAGAGTTAAGGACTACCATACAATGCAAAGGTATCAGCTGTTGTGCAAGGAAACTATTGGAATTGGCCTTTAGCTTGATCCCAATAGCTTGTTCAGATCCAAATGGCCCTTTTTGATAAGCTCTACCCAAAGGAAAGGGTAAAGGATTCTATAATCTAGTTACTGTCTAGATCAGGCACTTTTAATACAGGAAGTACATGGCATTGGCTAAGGGAAAGACATAACAAAGTCCCATGGCATAGACTGGTTTGGTTCTCACAATCAATCCCTAAGCATAGCTTCATTAGTTGGTTGGCAATACATGACAGATTGACTACAAGAGCTAGGCAAAAGAAATGGGCTGCCAACATAAATGATACATGTCTATTTTGCAACTCTGAGGCAGAAACAAGTGCACACCTCTTTTTTAAAGGCAACTACACAAAGCAAGTTTGGCACAAATTATGTGAAATGGCAGGAATTCCTTTCACTGATGTGTGGCAAAAATTATTAGCATGGATGAGGAAGAAAGTTAGAAGGAAGTCACTATACACTGTTCTCATTAAGTTGGCATGGACTGCAATAGTTTCCCACATTTGGACAGAAAGGAATAGGCGAGTTCATCAGCAAAGTTTTCAATCAATGGAAATAATTGTTTGAGATATTGAATTTGAAGTCAGGAATAAAATTTTAGGCTTTGCTAATCCTAAAACTTCCCCTTTGTCCATGGATATTGCAAAAAGATGGAGGATTGAGGCTGTTGTGAAGATTTGAGAATAGCAGAGTTGTGCTGAGTATTATTTGATTGGTTGTAGCAGCAAATTGCTGCTCATGTATATTATAATTACTAGATAA